ATAATCTATATTTCACAAAATGATTATCTGCTCTAATTTTTTAATTATTTATTTATTTTGACAGAGAGGGGAAGGGAAGAAGAGATAGAAACACCAATGTGTGGTTGCTCCTCACACACCCCCTACTAGGAACCCAGCCCATAACACAGGCATGTGCCCTGAGTGGGAATCAAACCAGTGACCCTTTGGTTTACAGGCCGTCATCACTCAATCCACTGAGCTACTCCAGACAAGTCTGTTCTAATTTTTTTCACAACTGTCTTCAACTTCTTCATTTGGGAAAAAAGGTGCAAAACAAAAAAGGAATTTGATGCATTTTTATTGTCTTCCATTTTTAAAAGTCTGCACACCTTATTACAGAATAGATAATTAAATATATATTCCTATACATTCACTATTGCTTTCTAGTAGTAAATTACATAAAACTGTTAGTAAAGCCCTGGATAGTGTGGACTGAGTGCCCAAAAGGTCGCCAGTTCAATTCCCAGTCAGGGTACATTTCTAGATTGCCAGCCAGGTCCCCACTTTGGGGCATGCAAGTGACAACCAATCAACGTATCTCTCACATATCAATGTTTCTCTCCCTCTTTTTCTCCCTTCCTTCCCCTCTCTCTAAAAATAAATAAATAAAATCTTAAAAATACTACCAAAGATTTATTTGCATTACCAACCAAATAAAGTCTTAACCCATGATAAATTACTACTTCTTTGCCCTTACTTTTATTTACTTATATTTATTCTCAGAAAGTCTTCAGAATTTATTAACAATGTTTCTAAAACACTTTTTTACATGTAATATGTCAACCTAACTGTAACAGCCAAGGCTGACTTCCCCAAAAGGCATCTAAGCTCAAAAACTATTTCTTGCACTGAAAGACCAGTTCTTACTTACACATACAATGTGTCTCCCCCAGAGGACCTGTTCATGAAATCAACTTAAAGTACCATTTTAAAACATTGAAAACAACATCCACTTTCTACTGTTAAGTTAGACTGATGATCTTCCTTATACTTCAGATGTGCAATTAAAACAAATCAAAACCAAAATTAAAAGCCCAACTAAAAAAAGCACACTGCAGGTTCAGCACCTTTAAGGCAGCAGAGTGCAAAGTCACAGTCAGGAAAGGGGCCAGGTTTCCTTCAATCAAAAAAATAAAAAGTGAAAAAGCTCTTCCAGAAACATCAGATCAGGATCATGTTTGATTATTTCTCCATCAAACTTTCCAGTCAAAAAGTATGTATCACATGGAGTCATCACACTTCAAATGCATAATGTTTTATCTAAATGCTACTTCAGCAGGACAATAATACTTGGCATGATTCACTGTCAATTAACAGAACAGTATTTTTGTATCTGAATGATCTTCACAAATACCCCATGAAGTAAAGCAACTGGCTATCACGACACAAATAGAAACAATAGAGACCCCTAACATTACATTATTTGTTCAACATAATTAAACATCCCGACTCCCAATCCAATGCTCTTTATTTACATCCCATCATGCTGGCAAATCAGAAGATTTTAGAGTAGTGATTTACAGACAAGCACTAAAGAAAAATTAGATGGACTTCCTGTAATGACAGAGGAAAATCATTACTTCACTCTACTTATTTTGAAATATTTCCTTCAAAAACCCTCTAGGCCTTTAAACAGGTTTCCACACATTAAATGCCCTTTTTAAAAAAGCTCAAAATGTATCAGTTAGTTGCAATCCTCCCCAGATTACAGGACTAAATTTCATCTTGGAGCTCAAATTGAGAGATTATTTTCAAGTTTATCTGGTGTAATAAATGACACATGACCTTTGAAATTGACTTATATTTTTTAGCTGTTTTAATCTAGTCAAAATTGCAGAACTACCAAGAAGAAAATTCTTGACAATGTAAATTATCACTTACAATATGGTAACTTCCTCACCTTAACCACACACAAACACAAATGCAATTCAGCCTCTAGTACTTCTGCACTGTTAGATGAGTCTGCATTTTGTGTTTTAAAAAACCCTGGGCTTAACAGGCCCTGCTACTGTATCCCTACTCTTTCCCTGTTCAGAAACTACTACTTCTGTAATCTTAGCAGTTCATGCTCACTTAATTTTTTAAAATCTTTATTTAACATGGATAAGAATATAATTATACAACCTGAACAATACTGTGGAACTAAATCATAAATCATACATGTCAATTATGAATGCTTCATATGCCCTATAAATGGACCAAAATACCTAATAAAATATTGAACCAACACAGTACACAAAATATAGGTAGAAAACATTGAAAAGGAACAGAAATTTGGGGAGAGAAGTAAAGCTCCAAAGAAGATAACCTAAGAAAATAAAGTATGAATATTGGAGCTTGGGAGGAAAAAAAAGCTTCAGAATGGATATTTTATTGTTAATGGACAACTGGGGAAGAGGCAAACCTCAATCTTTCAAGCCTGAAAATTACAAAAAATGCATAGGCTATTTCTACAGGACAATATGGCCCTTTCTGTATGATGGAAAACAAAATGTGGGCAAAATAATATGCTACTTACCTATCCATATTCAAAATATCAGATATATAAAACACAGTATTCAAAGAGATTTAATGCAAACAAGCTTGAAACCCACCATGTCATAACTGCTTAACTTCTTTACTTCCACTGTCAAGTGCTTACAAAACAATAAATGAAAGAGTCTATCCAGATCTGGATGTATTTTCAGATTAATATTCCCAGATTTTGTCACATGATGGATTTACAGGAATAATCAAAACTGCACTGGCTTAACTGAAGAAAGCCTAAGCACTTTTGTCTTTGATTTTACTGTACAAAGTGAAAAAAATAAACCAAAATGAGCTGAGATATACAAAGGCTAAGAATCATTGTCAACAGGTTATTTGTCTTTCCAGTCCAACTAATGAATTCTTGTCCCTTTCAATAATTACTTCATAGTTTCCATTGTTACTTATTTGCTTTTTAAATTACTTTTTTTTTTTTTTTTTGCCCTGGCTTGTGTGGCTCATTGGATTGAGCTTCAGCCTGTGAACCAAAGGGTCACAGGTTTGATTCCCAGTCAGAGCACCTGTCTGGGTGGAGGGCCAGGTCCCCAGTGGGGGGAGGGAGGCATGAGAGGGAACCACACATAGATACTTCTCTCCGTCTCTTTCTCCCTCCCTTTTCCTATTCCTAAAAATAAATAAAATCTTTTAAAAATAATTTTTAAAGAATCCTTATAACTGAAATTGCTGTACCTATTGTCTTTTTTAAAATTAAGTTTTTCTATAGAAAGCTTGCAAAATACCAGAAAGTGTAAAAAAATCATTTATAGTTTCACTTTTATAACTATTGTTTGAGTCTTATTTCTGGGACACAAAGAGGACCACATACTAAGCCAGACAAGCTCAGGGAAGGCCTGTTTTCATCTAAGTAACATACTTAGGGAATGTTAGGGTAATTTTGGGGGGGGACCCTGACTGCACCAGAACAGAGATCACAAAACCCCTCACTGTTACTGTTATTTAAGGTTATTGTGTCATCTGCTAACTATCCTACACCCACAAGTGTTAAGAGGCCTGTGTCTTACTGGTTTTATTTTTTATCCAATCCCAGAGGTTTCCCTGTTTTGCTTTCCCCCACCTCCCTAATCTATCACCAATGGACTTTTTGTAATGCCCTCGGCGTGTCCTCCTTTGTTTGTAATGTGTAAAATCAGGTACAAAACTGCCATTCTCTGGAGCATTTTCTCAATCGGTTGGGATTTTGCTTCCTGGCAGTTGTCTGTTTGGCTCAAATAAACTCATAAAAATTTCCTACAGTTCAAAGATTTCTTACACTGACATTTCATATAGACATACAATTGCTTCTAAGTTCTATCTATATGGTTTACAAAATTAGAATTACACTGTTTTCGAACCTACTTCTATTAAAAAAATTTACAGACTTGAGAATGATTTTTTAAGTTTGTATAATTAGAATCCCATCCTTAAGTAAAGAATTAAATTATGCATTGAAATAACACCCCACTTCCTCTTTCCCTTCCTTTTTAGGATCAGAGCTCAAGACAGAATAGTAAACCATTCACACCAAGTATCACCAAGAATTTGGGGGCCTAAAAAGATTGAAAACGTAAGCCACAGATATGATGGGCTAATAGTGACGTTTCAAGGACTATACAGGGGATGTAACGTTATTGGAAGACACAAATCTCCTAAAATTCGCAGTACCAAAGCAGTTACCTATTCTAGCGACAAGAAAACTCCATTCCGTTTTTTAAGATTGCTAAAGTAAAGCAGTGCAAATCTCACCACTCAACAAAGTGCCTTAATGGGCTGAGCTTGTTAAAACTGGCGCTCCCAATGGCAGTTGGATTCATTAAACAAGGGAAACATGTAGCACATACTAGGCACTAAACGGACAGCTGCTCCAGAGAATTTATCGATTAGGAACGCCGACGCTAAAGGCAGCCCGGTAAAGGACAAGGATATGGAGGGGGATTTGATCATTATCAGTCTGGCGGACAAGCAGAAATTTCATCTGCATTATTTAATATTTAATCTTTCTATTCCTGGCATCAGAGGGTTCAAACGTCACCAAAAAAGATGGGCCGGTTGAAAACCAGGCAGGGTGACGCACATCACATCTTACCATATGGAGTCTCACCATCAAGACCGAGAAGTACCCCAAAACAACCCAGTCAAGGAAGGAGGGTACCCGGGGCCGTCAACTCCCCCACACCCCTGGCGCACCGCTGGGGTCTCCCCGTGGAGGCCGGAGGCTCCAAGACCACAAGACGTGACGCCTCAGGAACCGACTCTGGCCGCGGGGGGTGCAATTAGGATTATCAGGCCACCCAGCACGCTCCCGGCGACAGCAGTCGAACTCGGGGCCCCGGCAGCCCGAACCCAAGATGAGACCGCGCGAGTGCCTCCGCCAGGCTGATCCGACCGTGCCAACCAGGGCCGCAACAGGTAGCCGCGACTCCTCTCCCGGGGTACAAACCCGCCCAAGGCCGTACCTGAAGGGGCAGCCCCACCGCAGCTCCACCATGCAGGTTGTCGCTGTGGCGGTGTTCACGGCTCAAAGCGCAGTGACGCCTCTCATAAAAACAACCTGCTCGCAGGCGTCCGCAGCCGAGAGGCGCGGCCGGTGGGCCGCCGTAGTGCACGATGGGTTTCGTAGTTCCGCCCGCGCCTTCAGGCTGGCAGCTGCGGAGCGAAGAACTACGACTCCCAAAGAGGCGCGCGGCACGCCGGGATGAGCTTGCTGGACGCGGGTCCAGGTGACCGTGAGCCTCACAACATCCGGGCCTGGTGCTGGAAGGGCGGAGAGGCGCCGCGGACGGTTGTTATGGAAACCGGCCGCTACAATCACTCCAAAGGATTCTCGGTTTTACCCTGGAGGGTTGCTCCGGATATTGATCCGGATTTAATTGGGTGTACTAAAAAGGCCTCATCCCCTGGGGCACTCGCCGACCTTCTTGAGGTCTGCTGCAGGAAGACTGTGACGAAAAAATAAACAAAGAAGACACCGAGAATGACCGAGTATGACTGGGTGGGTTTTGGCAAAGGTCTGGATGTTTGTGAATGTTAATAGTCTTTGCTTTAAATTTGGGGCACCCTCCCCCAAAAAAACAGTTTTCTAGGCAACCACTGGGCTACACAGATGCAAATATGCATTATTGCATTAAGCCAGAATTGCTCTGAAGGTGTAAAGATGATTGGGGATGATCTGCAACTCCTACCGTATTGCAAGATGTGAGGTGATGGCTTTGAAAACGTACCTAGAAATTTTTGCATTTGTTTACACTGTACCTTGTTAAAAAGATATGCGCTATCAAAGGATATGGTGCATTTATACTCACTGTTGATGGAAACTAGAAAGCTAAGGTTTAACTGTCCGTCCCTCAATAGTGGCAAAAAAAAAAAAAAAAGGTAAGGAAAACGTTGACAAGGAAGATAGTGGGCCTCAGCTGAAATAAAAGGATGCTTCAAAATCAGACTTTCGGATCTTTTGCTTTGGAGGTTACTATATTTAACTGTGACTATATTTAACTGTGATATGTCAACTGTGACACATCAAAAAAGAAAAACATTTTAACTTCATAATTACAACTTCTCTAAGGGATATTTTTATCATTTCAATGGCTTGCTTTTATTATTTTTTAAAAATATGTGTGATTATACCAAAGGACTTTAAAAGCCACAGACTTCTCTAATTCTAGGGGAGCCTTAAAAATTAAATTAGTAAGAAAGCTAATATCATCTATTTATAGATTTTTATTCTTTTCAAGGCACTTTCATGGCCAATTCTAAGACACAGTCGATTTTAAAAGAATCATTTACAATTTTAATTTACCTTTTTATCCTTAAGTACAAAACAGTTGCTGACCCATGCGTAACTGGCAGTTAACTTAAAGTAATCCTTTTATTATTCTTTCAATGAGTCTATTTTGCTTTGTTTTCAATTGTATAGTTTGAACTCCACATTTAAGAATATCAGATTTGAATGTTATAGAATTGTATGCCTGAAACCTATATAATTTTGGTACCAGTGTCACCTCAAGAAATTCAATAAAAAGGAAAAAAGAAAAATAAAAAGTTTATCGGATTTGAAGAGGGTGAAACCCAAATAAGAAAGCTGTAGTGGGGGCCTCTGACATAAAGTAAAATCAATGTGTATTTTGTTTCTAAGTCTATAAACATTGTGAATTATCCTGGAGATCTAAAAGACTTAGGTAGACACTAACTTCCAGTTTGTGTGGCATAAATTATACCAACAAAGTTCAATCAGCTAATTTATTTTCTATTTTGACTAGATTAGGTTTTCTGTATTAGAGAATTCTAAAGCCAGTAGTAGAGGGTGATTTTATGAAAGGGAGTCTTCTCCCTAAGGTTGCCCTGGGCAACTTGACTGGGTGCCATGAAGTAAATTAGAGTTGGTACTTTTTCCCACAAATCACAGGGCATCCACCTTCCACCTAAGAAGTTTTCCCTTGCTGAGGAACCTTAGACATGTTTGTAACTACCAAAACTTTTTGCCTACATGGACCCCCACTGAGTGCATTTATTAATGCACACTTTTTTATGCTTTTTGAATGATTGAACATCAGTTCCACCCTGGCTGGTGTGGCTCAGTGGATTGAGAGCTGGCCTGTGAACCAAAGGGTCACCAGTTCAATTTGGAGTCAAGCACATGCCTGAGTTGCAAGCCAGGACCCCAGTGGGGGGCATGTGAAAGGCAACTACATACTGATCTTTCCCTTTCTCTCTCCTTACCCTCTCTTAAAAAAAAAAAAAGAAAAGAAAGAAAGAGAGAGAGGGAGGGAGAAAGGGGAGGGGAGGGGAGGGGAGAAAATCAGTTCCTAATGCTGTATTTGAAGAGCCCTGATAAGGGAGTCCTCAAATTAGGATACAATACTATCTAGTCCATCTCCTTTGATTTATAATCATAGACAAGGAACTTGAAACCTTGTAAAACAATTTCATCAAAGTCACACAGCTATTATGAGCACCAGCATCAGAACCCAGCCCTAGTAACACTTAGAATGTGCTTTTATAATCCTTACAGCAGGAGGAATACAAATACAAACAAATTTACCAATTATTTGGCTTGACATGTTTTTGCACAATCCAAACAGGTATCATTATGGCCCTCTCTCTGTCCTTTTACCCACACTCCTTAACTTGCCTCCTGTTAGGTAGCCGAGGTGGCTAAGAAGGGACCGGGAGCCAAAAAGTTCCAATTAAGGCTTCTATTGGAGGCTGAGATCAGGCGGGCTGAGTCCCAGCCAACTACAGGTGCAAGGGAAAGGGTAGAAGGGTTTTTAAGGGTGTATGGCAGACCCCAGGGGAGGGTGGATCATCCTGCCGGTCTGCCCCAAGTGTCCTGGGTACAAGTGTTTGCCAGACAGTGTCCTTTGATTGGGGATGGCTGGTTCAGTGACACAAAGTCCAGGAGATTTATGGGCCTTGTTCTGGGGAAAAAAGCTCCAGGGAGAGGAGAGGGGCAGTGAGGATTCAGCTGGTTTCCAGCAGAATGCCTTCATCTACCCCTCAGTTGCTTCTGATAATGGGGAATCTTGTGATCAGGTATTTAGCCAGTGACACATACCTCCTTTGTTCTAGCACAGGCAGTGGCTCAGGTCCTCCATGTCCCAGTACATTCTAACTCTTCCCAAAGGCCTTTTTAATTCCTGACCACCACTTAGCCACATCTTTTATAACAGCGGTATAAGCCAGTATAGCAAGTCCTTGTGATACCATTCATGAGATGCCCTACAAACTTAACTCTTGTTTATATCAGTTAGCCTATGGTAAAATTGGTTTCACCCAAATTCCAAGACTCTTATCAACACCTTTAGTGAGGACTGACTATAACTCAAAGTATGATCTAGGAACCAGCAGCCTGACTATCACCTGGCCTGCTATAGCTCCTTGCCACATCCATTCAAGGCCCCAACAACAGCCAAGTAATCATACTAAAACTTGTGACGTCATGGCATGCTCCTCCATAGAACCCTTAAATAGCTTGCCTTTGCTTTTACTATAAGGACCCAAATTTCCAACATGGCCAACAACACCCTGCAGTCTGGCATCTGCCCCTCTATTTTCATGTCAACTTACTTGACTTGGGCCACACTTTTTCTTTGTTCCCACCTGTCTTTCCCTTCCTTGCCTTACACTCTTAGATTCAATGACACTTCACCAGAATGGCCTTCCTTAGCCCTCCATAGTAGGTTAGAACTTCCTGTGTATTTTCATAAATATCTTGGGTCTTTTTTTTCATAGAACTTAACCACCATTACTCGACATTTGATCTTAGCCAAAAGGCTGAGAGGGGATGCCCACCATTACTCCCAAATGCCCTCAAGAGAACAGGATTCCCAAAAAAGTAGAGTGGCTAGGGCTATGTTTTTTGGGGTTTTTTTCCAGCTTTATTGAGATATAACAGACATATAACACTGTGTAGGTTTAAGATATACAAGATGATGATTTGATATATGAATATACTGTGAAACAATTTCCAAAATAAGGTTAACACTTTCATCACCTCACATAATTACAATTTTGTGTGTATGTGGTGAGAATATTTAAGATCTATCTACTCTTTCAGCAATTTTCAAGTATATGCTGGTAATACAGTATTGTTAACTATAGTCACCATGCTGTACATAGATTCCCCCGAACTTATAATGGGAAATATATACCCCTTGACTAACGTCTCATTTCCCCCAGTTCTTCCCAGCCCCTGGCAACCACCATTTCTACTCTTTCTTAGTAAGTTTGGCTTTTTTTTTTTTTTTTTAGATTCTGAATAATATGTAAGGTCACACAGTAATTGTCTTCCTCTGTTTATTATGTATATATACCACATTTTCTGTGCCCATTCATCCTTCCATGGACAGAGGTGGTTTCTGTGGCTTGGCTATTGTAGATAATGCTGTGATGAACATGGGGGTGCAGGCATCTCTTTGAGATAGTGATTTGTATAAGGAAATAAAATCTGCCATCCCAAAGTATTTCTCTTTGGCATAAGGACTAGTTTAGGCTGATTATTTTTAAGAAAGCTGCCAACATAGGAAAAGCTCTAAAAACTGAGAAGTTACCCTTTTGTAAGAGCTTTTTTTACATGTAACTGTATAAGGGAAATCTCCATTTGTAAGGGTGACTCCCTCACTTTAGGAGGAATTGGGGGGATGACCTGATCTCTGTAAACAGCTATTAATGGCAAAGTCAAGGACTTAAATCTGCTAAACCACCTTACACTTGGTTACTGTGCTTTCCTGGTAATCTCCCCTCCCATAACTGACTGCCCACCCACAGCATATTTTGTCTTTAGCTGGTGATGTTATTTAAGATAGTGGCTTCATCCATTTCAGACTTGCTCAATTTTCTTGGGTCTCTCCCATATATGTGAGGTACACAAGCTTTTAAACTTTGTTAAACTTTTGTTTTTCTACTGCTAACCTGTCTCATGTCAATTTGATTATTAGGCCAAAAGAACCTAGGATAGAGGAAAATTTTTCCTTCCCTAAATTGTATTTATTTTGGATACATATCCTGGATTGGGATTGCTGAATCATATGGTAGTTATATTTTTAATATTCTGAGGAACCTCCATACGATTTTCCACAGTGGCTGCACCAATTTACATTCTCACAGTGCACAAGGATTCCCCTTCACATCTTTGCCAGCACCTGTTATCTCTGAACTTCTTGATGATAGCAATTCTAACAGGTGTGAGATAATATCTCCTTGTGGTTTTCTCATGTTGTTGTTCATTGTGTATGTGTATGTTTAAACTTATTTGTTATAGCTTTATTCTGGTTCAAATACCAGGTGTGTCCAGAAAAAGTCCAACCATCATTAACATAATGAGAATGGTTTGCGCAGCATTGATGTAACCTGGCAGCCAAGGACAGTGGACTGGAATGCACATGCATGAACAATGATGACTTCACTGTACTAGTTAGTGGGGGGTGGGAGATACTGCTAAGTGAGCATGTGTACTGTGTGGTCATCACATTCAAAAAGAATAAAGTACAGCAATGAATCTACATTGAATTTTGCATTAAGTTTGAACATTTCCTCCAAGAAAACTATTTGGGTGGTTCAGAAGGCTGCAGCTATGGGCAAATGGTGACTGGCAACTTCATCATGACATGCCTGCTCATGCATCATGTGCAGAGGTTTGGCAAAACATCAAATCACACAGGTGACTCAGCCCCCCTACAGCCCAGACTTGGCACCCTGCAACTTCTGGCTTTTCCCAAAACTATATTCACCTTTGAAAGGGAACAGATTTCAGAACATCAATGAGATTCAGGAAAATATGATGGGGCAGCTGATAGTAACTGAAAGAACTGTGTGAGGTCCCAAGGTGTCTGTCTAGTTTGAAGGGGACTGAGGCGTCATTGTCCTATGTACCATGTTTCTTGAATCTTGTTATCGTCTTCAATAAATGACTCTATTTTTCATATTACATAACTTGATACTTTCTGGACAGGCCTTGTTGTAGATACATATTTTCTAGTATGTTTAACTATTAACTACTTTTTAATAGTTAATTTTTATTGTATTTTTCATTACTATTTATCTTCCCTAGATCCTCTTCCACCTCCACCCACCTCCTCCCTTGCACTGTTGCCTGCGTCCATCTCCCAACCCATTGCTGTCATCCTGCTCCCTATGTATGAGTCTGTCTCTATTTTGCTTGTTAGTTCAGTTTGTTCATTAGATTCCACATATGTTGAACACATTTTCATGTACTTCTGGGCCATTTGTGTGTCTTCTTCGGAAAAATGTCTATTCAGGTCCTCTGACCAATTTTTAATCAGATTTTTTTGTTTGCTTTTGAGTTATGTGAGTTCCTCGTATATTTTTAATATTAACCCTTCATCAGATATATGGTTTACAGACATTTTCTCCCATTCTATAGATTGTCTCATTCTGTTGATGGTTTTTGTTGTTTTGCTGTGCAGAAAGTTTTTGGTTTGATGTAGTCCCACTTTTTAAAAAATATTTTTTATTTATTTATCTTTAGAGAGAAAGGAGAGAGGGAGAGAAATATCAATGTACAGTTGCCTCTCATGCGTCCCCTGCTGGGAACTGGCCTGCAACCCAGGCATGTGCCCTGAGTGGGAATCAAACCGCGATCCTCTGGTTCACAGGCCCGTGCTCATTCCACTGAGCTACACCAGCCAGGGCCCCACTTTTTTTACTTTTGCATTTGTTGCTTGTACTTTAGGGTCATCCAAAAAATTGTTGCCAAGACTAATATGAAGGAAATTTTTCCCTATTTTTTTACTAGGAGTTTTTCAGTTTCAGATCTTACATTTAAGTCTTCACTTCAAGTTAATTTTTGTGAGTGATGTAAAATCGGGTTGGGACTAAGTTGAATAGTTTTGGGGCTTTTTTTCCCCCAGAACTTTATAACTGAGAGTGATTTGATGTGTTTACATTTTAGGATAAGAAAAGTACTTCAGCTCCAAATTCTGACACAGAAATGAAACCTGCACAACTGCCTACTTGTGTGAACCCCGGCAATCCCGTGTTCTCCTGCATGTTGGATCCAAAGACACTCCATACAGCAACCTCACTATCACAGCCTAAGATGATTATGTATAAAACTAGTTCAAGTGCTTATGGCGAATTTTCACCTATACCACAGTTTTTCCCCTGCAATTATACTCCAAAAGGGCAAGAATTTTCAAGCCGTATCAGCGCTACTGGATTTTATCAAAATAACACTCTAAACACTGCACTTGACAGAAGCAGAACCCTTGATTTTCCTAATTTTCAACACACTCTATGAAAAATGTATTCCTTTGTATATTTAAGAGAAAATAAACTCAGGAAAAAATAATTTTTAAGACTAAGGCTAGAATTCCTAATTTGAAATATAAAAATATTTGAATTATTTAAAGAATACCTTTAAGAAATTAAGCATTTCACCTGATAATTGATACTGACTTTTTAAAAAAATCCTCACCCAAGAATATGTTTCATTGATTTTAGAGACAGAGGAAGGGGGACAGACAGACAGAGACATCAATGTGAGAGATAAATATTGATCAGCCACTTCCCACACGTGCTCCAAGCAGGGATAGAACCCCAAACCTAGGTATGTGATTGGGGATGGAAACCGCGACCTTTTCTCTGTGTACAGGACAACACTCCACCCAGCTGAGCCACCAGCCAGGGCTGACATTGACTTCTTAAACACAAATGTGTTCAGAAAAGCAACATAAAAGGTAGAAGCATTTTTATACATCCTTGCTTTATTTATTACATGTACACCCCACACATCAAAAAACTTTCATGATCTCAATCGTCTATTGAGTATATTTATCAAGACAAAGGAACACAGGAGCTCTAAGAAAAAGATTAAAATGAAGACTCTGACCAGTTTTCCCACTTTTGTATCATTTCAAGAAATGGCTTTGAACCTGGGGAAATGTTAGTTCCCTCTGCCAGGCTTGTGGAAGAGAGGACTTGTTATTCATTCATTCAGCAAACAGTTATTAAATACCTACTTATAGCAGATGCTATACTATGCAAATGTAACAAAATAAAAGACATTCTCATTGTTTCAGTGAATTTTAGGAGATTGGCAAATTAATAACATGTGACAATTTATGCAATGTAAAGTATACAAAAGTCTTTTAGACATAGAGACAATGGTTCAAAGTGAGGCTAAGGAGCCCTGGCCAACGAGCTTCAGTTGGTTGGAGCATCATTCCGATACACCAAGGTTGAGGGTTTGATCCCTGGTCAAGGCACATATAAGAATCAACCAATGATTGTATCAATAAGTGGAACAACAAATTAATGTTTCTTTTTTTAATTTTATGTTAGTTTCTGCTGTTATTTTTTAAAGATTTTATTTATTTATTTTTAGAGAGAGGGGAATGGAAGGAGAAAGAGAAGGAGAGAAACAACAATGTGTAGTTGCCTCCCACACCCCCCCCACAGGGGGCCTGGCCCGCAACCCAGGCATGAGCCCTGACTGGGAATTGAACCAGCGACCTTTGGGTTCACAGGCTGGCGCTCAGTCCACTGAGCTACACCAGCCAGGGACTCTCTTTCTCTCTTAAAAAAAAAAATAATGAGACCAAGCTGATCAGAAGAAGCATCCTGGAGAAGGTAAAGCCAAATCAAAGGAAAGGTCAGTCCAAGCAGAAGAAACAGAATGTACATGAGTACAAAGGTGTGAGAGAAGGTGACACTGTTTTATAAATGCAATTAGTTTGATACAGGCTTCCCTGCTATACCAGAGTGTTCCTATGAAACCTGTCATAAGCCAAAATGGTGTAAAATGAAGAGTGTCCTCCACTTCTGAAAGTTTGTATTACACCACTTCACTTCTACTGAAGACCTACATCACTACCTGTTTTCCCTAACCAAAAGAAATCCAAAGAGGGTGTTGCCTTTACCAAAAAGCTGTTATTGTCACCGTACCTAGTTTTCCCTTTTGGTTTTAGGTTCAGGATATGAACGCCAATTAGAAAGAATAATCCTGTGGGTCACTAAGGAATCAGAAAAGTATGATCTTCTATTTAAAAAAATGGCTTGATATGAGGAAACAGCGCAAACTCTGCAGCCTCATGAAGTTCTTTCAGATACCCCCAAATTTGTTATTTGGTAACAGCACAAGCAAGAAGAAAAATTGGTTTTGTTCACTATCTCTAATACAGCAAAAACTGAGGGACTGCACAAGATTTTGAGGCAAATAATACAACAGAATTTGAATGCACTAGCTTTTTCTCCACATAAACTATACAAGCCATTTTCCCTTCACTGTAGGTGATCAATTTGTGGCAAGTGGAGTCAACTTTTTAAGTGTAAAATCTGCATATTAGACTAATGCTTTTTACTATGGCAGGTTGTTAGGCTTTTTGTTTTCTTGTTATTGCTAAAATTCTCAGATAGGGTGAATATCTGGAAACCAAGCACACTTTCTGGAATGCCATTATGTAGCCATTCAGCGTCTATTAAAGTCTAGGGACTATTCTGGGCACCAAGAGCCTGCCCTCATGAAGCTTAGATTCTAGTTAATCCTAGTAGGGGAAACCAGACCAAAAACCATGCATAAATATGTACACATATTTATATATATGTGAGTGTGTATGTATGTTTATGTATACAGTAAATATTTTAAATATTTGGTAATGTTACATGTTACAGATTTATATAGAGACATATTTATAAATTATAAATCTATACATACATATTTATTTGTAAATATATATAACATTTATGCATTTATTATATACATATATATTACACGTACATATTTATATATGTGTCTATATGTATGAAACATGCCAAGTTATAAGTGTTATAAAGGAAATAAGGCCCTGGCTAGGTAGCCCCCTTGGTTAGAGTGCCGTCCTGATATGCTAAGGTCGTGGGTTTGATCCCCAGTCAGGGTACATACAAAAAGCAACCAATGAGTGCATAAATAAGTGGAACAACAAATAAATCTTTCTCTCCCCTCCTGTCTCTCGAAAATCAATCAATAAATAACTTTTTACAAAGAATAAATAAAATAGAGTTAGGGGAGAGGGAGTGCTCAGACAAGAAGTTGCGTTAGGTAGGCTGGTTAGTGGGGGAAGTCACAGCCCTGAAGGAAGTGAAGGGACTATTCTGGGGAAATGAGCTGCTGTGAGGCAATTCAGCACCAGCTCTAGAGTTCAAGGGAGAAGCCAAATTGAATATAATCAATTTAAACAATATCCAGTATTGACACAAATATATTATTTAAAATCATGAAACCAGATAAGATAAAGTATAATTAGAAAAGAAACCCAAGAACTAAGCTCCCAGAACTCCAACGTTTAGAAGTCAGGAGAATGAATGGAATAAATAAGACATCAACAAGGAGTGGTTAGTGAAATAGAAGGAATTAGAAGACTGTGATGCCTGAAGCCAAGTGAAGAATTTGTCTTAAAAGGGAATGAAAATTAAAAGAAAAAAAGGAAGGAAGAAGAAAACACAAGACACACACACACACAAAGGAATGCCCCAACTATGTAAAATTTATCTTGGGAGATAATAGTGAATGGAGATCTGAGGGCTTAATTAGGCAATGTGGAGGTCATCGTTACCTCAACAAGAAGTGTTTCAGTGCTGTGGTGGAGAGGACAACTGTATAGCAATAGGTTTATAAAAGGACAGAAAGTCCTGACTGGTGTGGTTCAGTGGATTGAGTGCCAGCCTGCAAATGGAAAGGTCACTGGTTGCAAGCCAGCTCCCCGGTTGCAGGACAGGGCAGTGTGAGAGGCAACTGATGATATATCCCTTGCACATTGATGTTTCTCTCCCACTGTCCCCCTCCCGTACCTTTTCTCTAAAAAATAAATAAATAAAAATCTTTCAAAAAGGAATGGAAGAAGTAGAAACTACTTTAGAGTAGTTTTGCTCTACCCAGAACAGAGGAATGGGGCAATAGCTGAAAGCAGATGTGGCATCAAAGGTTACTTTTAAGATAGGATTGTAATATAACACGTGTATGCTGACAGGACCACATTTAAAGAATTGCTGGCCTACGATAAACAGTTCTATAGAGAAGAAGTAGCTGAAGACGACCACAGAGTAGTATTTCTTTAATATGTACTTTAAAGAACTCACACGTATAAAATTAAAGGTATGGATAAGCTAAATAAACAGAATTATTCACCATCTGGATGTGGAAGAAAAGGGACCACACAGTAAACCTGACAAGCTCAGGGGAAGTCTGCCTGGCTGCCTTGCAAACTCAGAGACCAGAGTAACCACATAGGACCGTCTCAAATTGAAAACTTTCCTAAACGCAGATAATGGCGGGCAGTTGTCCTAGGCTAGAATCATCCCCGACAAAAAAATCTTTCAGTTAATTGAGCCTATAGTCTCTTTGCATCTAAGATAGTTTACTTTTAGAATGTCAAGGGAACTTTTTTCCGGAACCCTTGTGGCTAGAGGTGTGACTACCCCTTATTGTTACTATTATTGTGTTAATTGTTGACTGTTAACTATCCTGTACTCACCTGGGTAAGAGAGGTATGTGTTTAATTCCAGAGGTTTCCCTGCTTTGCTTTCTCCCACCTCCCTAATCTGTCACCAATAGATTTCCTGTAACCTCCTTACACCTCTTCTTTTGATTGTGATACATAAAATAGGATTAAAAATTGCCATTTTCCAGAGCATTGTCTCAATCCATTGAGGTTTTGCTTCCTGACAGTTGTCGTCAGTTTGGCTCAAATAAGCTCATGAAAATTCTCACAGCTTTGGACATTTCCTACATTAACATGGAATATATAAGGACATGGAATATATAAAAAAGGCATTAGAGCGTGGACTGTAAATTATTAAATTCATTACCTGTGAGATATACTAAATAATTCAGTACATTTTGTACTATGCAACCCTAAATTAAATTGTAAAACAACAGAAAATTTAAAAAGTGCTTTGTCATTTTTATCAATGAAAGCCTCCATTTCAGATAACAGTTTGAAAAATCATTTCTTATAGAAAATATTTAACACGCATTAGGTAAAAAAAAAACCTCACATTCCTTACACAAATTTTCCCACCTTTACACAATCAGAATGTTGGAAGTTACACTTCCATTTCCAGATTCATTTGAATTCATCTCCCAGCTTCAAACTTGAACTTATCTTCCCAAAGGAGTATTTTACCAGTTTGTTTCAGTCCTTTTCCTCTGTTAACTAAAAACTAAAAGACTATCTCAAATATACTTTTACCTCAAGAATCTAATCTGCCCTGGCTGAGTACCTCAGTTGGTAAACGTATTGTCCCATTACACAAAGGTTG